ATGTATTCGTTCTATTTATAACTTTTTTCTTCCAATATTATTCTTCTGAGATTTACCTGTGTTGACTATGTACCTCTCTTTCTTTTAATTTGTTTGCAGCATTCACAGATTTGACCTCCAGGGACTTCCTACCCAGCTCAGGGGCCATCAAGTCTCTGCCCCTTTTCGCCCTCACAGTTCCACGGTGAGCATCAGGAGATGGCATTTAGAAGAGGCAGGGCTGACAGAGACACCCTAGACAACAAGAGGGAGTGAGAGAGAAAGAGAACACTCTGAACATGCGCATGAGTTTCTTTTCTTTCTTTCTTTCTTTCTTTCTTTCTTTCTTTCTTTCTTTTTTTTACTTATTCTGCTTCTCTGTGTTTCTTATTTTAACCTTATTTTTAGCCAAATGCAACACACTGAAAAAATTCCCCAAAGTCAAATTTTCAATACTTCTGTGGTTTGTAAAATAATGTCAACTGGCATTGAATAAGATTAGGAAGGAAGGAAGGTGGGGAAGGAGAGGGAAGAGAGAAGGCTSTGTCATGAAATAAATTTAGAAAGAGATGAAAATATTAGAAAAAATATTAAGAAATGTTTTTAAGGCAGGACTTTTTTTAAAAAAAATAACCAGTTTATTGGCTTTAAGGCCAAACATGTTGTCCTATGGGGAGAAATCCATTACTTTTTCAAAAAATATTAATCAAATTCTGTCTTATGAACAGAGCAACTAAACTTCAAAACCTGATAATTCAAGATTTAAATTGATTCACAAGGCACTTCCTGAACATTTACAACTAAAATGATTTTATCATCTTTTTTCCCTCAGTATATTTCCTTTAAATTTTTAAATTTTTATTTATTTTGATGAGTTACACTTGACAGTGGAATGCATTTGTGCACTTTGATACATCATACATAGATGCAATATAGTTTCTCGTTTTTCCTGAGTGTACTTGTTTCAGAATCACTTTGGTCACGTAGTCACATATAGACACACAGTAACGATGTCTGTTTCCTTCTACTGTCTCCCTCCCCCCATCCTCTCCCCTTCCTTCCCATCACTGTCCTCTACCTAATCTAAGGTAACGCTATTCTTCCCTAGTGACCCCACCCCAATATTGGAGAAAACATTTGACTTTTGGTTTTATGGGATTGGCCTATTTCGCTGAGCATGATATTCTCCAACTCCAAGCATTTACTGGCAAATGCCATAATTCCACTCTTCTTTAAAGCTGAGTAATA